TTTGTCGCCTGAGTACTTTCTACTTTTAGTATTCGAAATATCTGATTGTTATTCTAGTACATGTGGCTTTTATTACATGATTGTGAGTACGTTGTTCTTTTTGGTAATTATTTACTTAATTTTTATTGGAAACATTTTCTCTGGTTATGCGATTGAGATAACGCTTTACGATCTCCTTTTAAAAGTCGAAGACGCCTCATGATTTGAACAGGTGACGTTCCTACTGCATTCTAGGTATTTAATACTGACAATCAATGTTTCAGATATGGTAATCCTAAAACTTAACTAACTTAAGTAAGTAAATAAGGTAGATGATTTAATTCACCAATAATAGCATGATAAGAACATACACATAGTGAAGGGAAAAAGTAAGTTCACCTTTAGAACTAAAAAAGATCTCACAATTAGCAATCGTAATTATTTTTCCTGTTTTTAGCATATGTTTGATATGTATACCATATACTGAGAACATAACAATGTTTTAATGTACTTATTTAAATAGGTTATATGAACAGTAAAATACTTCTCATAGGACTTCAAATAGGTGAAGGAATTTCGAAATATTGTGTGATGTTGTAAATATTCTATATTTTTAAATTGTTTTGAAGTGACCTAACCATACCATATATACACATATATTATGACATAATTTCAACATATAATGTCAACTTGTTTCATGTGTAAATTTGGCATACTAACATTATAAATATAGGGTATTACACAGTTTAGAATTCATTTATTTTATCTTAACTTGCATCGCAATTAACCTAAATTTTTGAGCAATTAAAGTAAAAATAGTGAAAATTAAAACAATTTAACAATTTCGACTTCACATCCATGCAATACCCGTACATAGGTATACTTCTTTCCCTCCACGCAAGTACACATTCGTTAAAACATCTCTGCCGACCTTTGGATTTGCCGCGGCTGTCAAAAGGAAACACTAGAAATGTCTTTGCAAATGGCATGTTTCTGTTAAATGAAAGTAATTAATTTAAGCCAAATCGCAGAAACACGTTCTTTCGATTTAATTACTTTTAGCGGAGTTCCAAGCGAAGTGAATCTAAATAAAATAAGAAATAACAATTTCATTATCATAAATGCAGGCAGCGGCTTAAGTATCTGTAGGCAGAATTTAATGCCCGCTTAAGATACACTAACAAATGCAGACCAACATATATAGGAAAAATATTTAATAAACTCAAATGCTTTTATTTATTTATTTTATTAATTTATTTTGTTTAACAACTTTCGTGTATGAAATTTTACGGGTCTACAAGCTCTACCTGCACTTGTAAGTAAGCACTTTCTCTCCATTCTTCTGACCTTCTTATAAAAAACTAATTAAAGACAAAATAATAACGACAATTAAATTTAATAAAGAAATTAAGCATAATAAACGTAACTCAAATAAAAATTAATGATTAATTTAATATGATTTCTTATAAAATTTCATATAAATTTCTACTTTACACTTCTACAATCCCTGAAACCTCCACTGATATCATTTGCAGATACTTTTTTATTAGATTTTATAACTATATAGATAACCCTATATAAAACAGGAACATTCTAAAGTGTTTGTAAATTATTACTAACATATTTCCATAATATATTTGTATAATTTTTTTTAATATTTTATTATCACCTCACATCTGATTCTCTATTGAACTCATTAAAAGTTTAGAGCTATTAAAAACGATATGATATGGAAAATTTTTCTCAGATAGTCGAAAATATACATATAAAATCTCCATTTGGATATAAAAAATTGTGAAAAAAAAGATCACAGTTTCGAGGTCCCCACACAGTAGATATATCTTTAGTGCTTACAAATTATTTAGCAAAACCAAAGATTATTTGTTTTAAATAAAATACCAGGATATCTTTTGTTGAGAAGTTTCTAATATAATATGGATCGTTTGGATTGATAATGTAGTAGCTAATATACATTAACCTTTATTGATATTTATCCATTTGTTGATTAGAGACAGCAGAAAAGTAAACAATTCTACAATAAGACTCCAACCCTTAGATTTATATGTTTGAGTCGATGGTTGCGAAAATATTCACGGATTTGTTATCATCGACTATGTACCCCAAACAACACTACCTGGTCTTAACTTACCAGTAGCTGCATTGTATCGGAGCAATTTGCGATGAACTTTAAGTAGGATATTACATCTATGTACATATACATCAAGCTATCGGGTGGTTATAGAATGATTCTCATAAGATATTCTACTCTATTCACAGTGAACATAAATCAAATTGTTCTCTAGCAGGTTGAGAAGTACATATAAATTTATTGAAGTTATCATAATTTAAATTCTAAAATAATTGTAATTAATATACAATACATATAAGAAAAAATAGAAAAAACAAAAAAGAATAATATAAAAAAAAATGCAATAAAATGCATCTCATGAAAAGCATATCGAATCGTTATTACTTTTGAAGTCAAATTTCTCGCCACGTAGTTGGCCACAGGCTTAGGCTTTGTGCTTCCATAAAATTCAATATTCAAGCAATAGCGGCGGTTAAATAGTTTTATTCTACGATCTCTGAATTTTTGCTATGCAAGGTTCTCGAGGTCAACTAACGGATGCAGGGCTTTAAATATTATTTTGTGCAAAGCAATCACAGCTGCGCTACATCGCAGCGCCTTGCATGTCGGCTCGGCCGCAAAGCATCAGCAGCCAAGATGCCTGCTTTATTTTAAACGAGGTTTTTGCCACAAAACTGGAACTGCTGGAACCGCTGTGCGAACAGCTGCGCAGGCGCTTTATGTTGTCAATTTTGAAAAGCAGTTGCCAGAGTATAAATTTAATTTTTTTTATCTTAACTTTTTTTTTTTATGGTGCTTAATTGATTTGAATGCCGAACATCTCATATCGAAACGTAATGCATGTTATGCACTTCGTATCACTTTTGGGTGTAAAAGTGCTGGCAAATGTGGCAACTGTAGATAAAAAAGCGTATATAAATAAAAAAAAAATATTAATAATAAAATGAAATATTTTTAACAATTAAAAATAAAAACTAAAATATTGACTATCAACAAAGATGTTTGTGATATTTATATATATTCAGTATAGCATAACATGCTAGAGAAAGATGCTGCTGTAATAGTAAAGCACATCTTGTTATATTTTCTTTATAAAATAAAAAAATACTTATAAAAATAAGTATCTAACTGAACAGAGAGTATTCTACCCACTTGTTGAAGGCTATGCAGTTGTATGAAAAAAAAAGATGTAGAAAATTCTCAAAGTTCTATTTTAATGATGATCATTGTAATAAATCAAATAGTTCGTGTTAATATGCAATTAAATACATTTTTATAGTGATCGGAGACTAGTAGTCAATGACGATTTAATAGCCTTTATTTTTCATCAAACGAACATGATAGATAAATTTGTAGCTTTATTCACTTCTCCAGAGCGCATAGAGCTACAATGCTATACCTCCAGTGTTTTTGATTTTAAGCAGCATTCACTGTTTCATTCCATATCATATCGCATTTCTGTAATTCACCTCAGACTCTGCACCTAAAGACATTTTTAGAACACCATTGCTGTCTTGAGTCTTGTGGATTTTATTTCAATTCAGAGAGCTCTGTTAAACAGTCTTATGCCAGATTTATGATATGGCTAAACTCAGTGCCACATTCCACATTCTTCTTTTTATGTCTGTTTGTATGTCAATTCGTCACTTGATCGCTGACAAAGCTTTAGATCGTTTATATTTGTATTTGTAGATATTTATGTATATTAACAATTGTCACTTGATTTTTTGATACAAGGAAAGTTTCCCTTCCATGCAGTATGGTGGATTCAAAATATTCTGGTCTCTATTGCTGTAGTGATATAAAACGATCGCCAGATAGTCGGGTAATGCAAATCCTGCTTTTTTAGTCTTATTTCTCATATCTCATATGTAATCGATATTTTACTTGTTTTATGTAATGTGTAAAGTCTTTTTTGGATTTATTTTTATGGTCTTAGTTTTATACTTCGCGGTTTTAAGTATACTTCACACTTCAACAGAAGTCACCCGCAAAGCTCAGATCTTTGAATTTCTTCTGAGAGTCCACGTTATTCTTTGCTTGCAGAGTTGTGTCATGATGTTGCCTTGAACTTTTGTAAATAGGTATTAGTGATCAGAGTGCGTATATTTGCTTGAACCTGCCATTAGTTAGTTAATTCCATATTAACTCATATACTAGTTTAGTAATATTAAGTTTAGGAATGCGATTGATTAAGATATATACAACATGGCTTCAGCCGTCTATCTCGACGCTGGTATTTGTTAACATTTGTAACAAATACATTACATTTGTTATGTAAGACTATCCACATATCGTCTTACATTGCTATGACGCCAATTTTATTAGAACTCCTTTGTTGAAAATATGTATATAAGGTTGAGCACTGACTGTATGCATGTGTGTGTTAAGCTAAGGGATTGGCCTTGTGATTGATGCAGGTTTATTGTTTAAATATATATAAGTGAATATAGCAAAGTAAATCAGCTGTCAATTGTGGTAATAATTGTCATTGTAAATAAAGTTACTAATAGATAACTTTAACTCTTAAAAAACGCCCTTTAAAAATAAATTTGAACTATTCCTTTATATAGATACTGTTTCCTTTTTTATATTAGGTATTTTAATATAATATATATATTAATATTACACATATATAGTTTTTTTTAATAGTTCAGCAAAAGTCACATAACTAAATATGAACAACCCGGTAGTAATTGATTAACCTACATAAAAATTGGAATTCATTGCAATTATTAACCATTTTATAGTATAAAATGTAGTTATTGAACGACATTAATTTATGTTTGCAACGTCTGTGAATGGTAAGACTTCAAAGTTCAAGAGGTGATAACAAGACTCTCGATACCTCTGCAATCCACTGAATTAAATAATTTTTAATTGTTTCAACTTTTACATTGTTTTAATTCTTATTGCCATAAACAATTGTATCGAATGTATCTTAACTATTTAAGTTGAGTTGTATAACTGCAGCTGTGGCTACTTAAGATATTTTGTGAAACATATGGCCAATAGGCATGAACTAATATGGGCTCGAGAGCGGCCAAACCTAGTTTTACTTAAGCCGTACGTGTGCAAATAAATTCGCAAGTCATAATAGATATTTACGTATTTATCTGTAGTCTTGTACAAATATGTTAAAATGTAATAGAGGATAATAATGAATGCACTCACATTCATATTGAACTGATGTATTGTTGCATCAGAGACGGACAGTTTAGTTTTCAGCTGGAAATTTGTCGAATATTTGCCATAGTTTATTTGACTTTCTCATGTCTTGTGTTGG